TATTTTTCATTTAAATCCCAACCAGCTGAAAAGAAGCCCAGGGAACCTGAAAATCAAAGGCGAGGAACTATGGAGAGGGACCCATCATGCACTGCACATCAGGAAAAAATACTAAGGGGTTTATAAACAGCTTTTCAGGCCTGATCCAAAGTTTATTGAAGTTAATGAAAATAATCCAACTGACTTTTGAGGTGCTTCAGATCAGACTGGTACAGATATGAAGGCCTGGGAGAGATCAGGCACCACTTCAGTGGTAGAGTATTAGCATCACCTGAAAGCAAATGGGTCCAAGGCCAAGTGCTCTATTTATCTACTTCTCTTTCTAGGTATTGCTTGACCTTCATGTTTGGAGAACTGGAGCTCTTGGGCACTTGGATGCTGGCTTGAAATCTAGTGGAGACAGCAGCAAAGTAACCTAGCTTTGGACACTAGTTTGGTAGTCCACTGACTAGGGATAACTTTGTATTTCTGTACATTCCCTGTTGGTTCTATAGCCTCCGAGTTAGAAAAAAGGATGTACCTGCAGCACTTAAAGAGAGATTGGGCATTTTCTTAACAATGGTGGTTTCTACCAGTGTTATAAACTAAATGCCATTTCTTCCTATCAACAACGCAGTGCAGCATGGTGTATGAGGCTGTAAGATGCAACATTAAGCCTGCGTTGCTAAAATGAGAAAGGCAGACTAGAGTAAGGCTTCCCCCTGCACAATTACAAGAGATTATAGCAGTTGTAACCTAATACCACTATGCTGTAACATTAAAGATCAATAAATCCCAGGCAGTGTTAGTAGTACATGGTGTTTCTGCCTCAGACAAAACAACACTCAATCAGTAGAAGGAGCTAGTGAAAGGTGGAGGCCGCATGTTCATAGATTTCAGTTTGCCATATTGTGGACAGTACCATTTTTTTTGTCTCACAAATGATGTTGGGGTCACTACAGCGGACGTACATCTCGGGTTCCCCTCCTGGCACTCCAGCCGGGGCACCTAGAGGGGAAGAAAGGCACAAGAGGGAACACTGCTATCATTGTAGAGTCATAGCACACGGAATCACCAGAACCCCAACACACTAGGGCCTGTACAAACACAGAACAAAAAGACAGCCCCTGCACAACCAAGAGTTTATAATCAAGTATACTGCAATCAGATGGATCACAACAGACAGCAGAGCACCAGTGACACAATACCAGTCAACATGACGGAGAGTGGTCACCAGCCTCATATTGCCCAGTTTTCTGAAGGCTCCAAGACAAGAAAGAGCACCACTGAGAAAGCTGTAGGAAGATACTGCAGTGGCTTTGCAGTATGGCAGAGCACCTCCTAAGCATGACAGGCAGCAGGGGAGACACTACAATAGTGCTTATTAAGGGGTGCATCTGAAAGGCTTACTAGTGGGCAATAGGGATGGGACTCAACCTCTTGGCAGGTGAATGACGATCATGGTAGGGAGAAGCTGTGAGGGGATCGGGAATGAAGACAAGCCATTGGGTAGAATGGAAGGGGGCAATTAAAGGTGATGCAGTTAAAGCAGTGGACTTACAGCAGCCTGCCAGAGGCATATCAGCAAGGCAAGGCTGCACGTGTCAAGACCAAAGAAGAGGATGTTGCAGTAGTCAGGATATGTAAGGGACAAAGTCTGGACAGGACTTCTGGTTAGAAGCATGGATGGGAAAGGCTGGGTTTTAGATAAATTAGAATTAAATAATCTGTAAGGTTTGGACACTGTCCAGAAATGGAGTCCATATGAAGAGACTGAATCAAAGACGGGTCATAGCTGGTATGACTAGCTGAGTAAAGGTGCCATCCACAAGGCTCCAGGTAGGAGGCAACAGAGAGGGATCATAGGGAAGCAGGGCTGGAAGGGAACTCACAAGGTAATCTAGTCCAACCCCTCATTCAAGGCAGAATCATCCTGACTAAGCCATCCCAGCCAAGCTTCTGTCCAATAAGTTCTTGTAAATTTTATGGCAGGAAGATTAAAAGCACCCTTGCTA